CCACCAGGACAGATAACATGATGTTTTTCTCCAGGACAGGCCTCGGTATGAAGCTTCTCCTGCACTGAGGGCAGCTGTGGACTCCTTTCTGATCCTCTTCATCCCAGTGGGATTTAATACAGTAGCTGTGTCCACAGGGAAGAGCCACTGGATCCTTCAGTAGATCCAAACAGATCGAGCAGGAGAAAGTTTCTGTGCCGTTTTGTGTTCATTTGAGCTCCTGCGGGTCTTTTTTTTTGTCTTTATTGAAAATTAAAGAAGAAGAAAACCAGAACACAATATAACAAGGCATACAACAAAAAACAAGTTCACATTTGACATGATAAAACTAAGCAGAAATTATGAATAAAAATAAAATAATAAAAAGAAAGGGAACAATTTGAGGAAACAGCAAAACAAAAAATGTTACAAATGCAGGAGAAGTTTCAAATCTTCAAATAAGCTTTTAATATATTGGTATAAAGACTGGGCTTTTGGAAGGTTGCAACGTTTAAGCACTTCCTTAAATAAAATGATTTCACTTAAAAAATGTTGAACATGGGGGTCATTTTCAGGAAACGGCATTTGTGAATAAAAAATTTAGCCATAAGCATTAAATTGTTGTTACCATAATTTAAAACTTCATCCCTGTTAACAGATCACATTTGATTATAATTATATAATCTACTATATAATAATTATATAGAGATATTGTCATAATTTTTGAACAAATGTTTTCTTCTCAGTGTACGGGGAAGAGAAGTGAGGTCAGAGTGTTCCTTATGAATTTATTATTACATTTTCTGTCTATAAAGTCACAACCTTTTATAATCAAAGATGGTTTCAAATCATACTTTTAACCATCCGAACCACAGCAGCAGGAATTAAATTTAACTCTTTCAAATTTAATTTTAATACAATTTAATGTGTATTTTTTTTAAATAAAAGGAAAGGAAATGATGCATGTTTTTATTTCAAACTTGCAACAAAGTCCACCTGAGGCTGGTATTTAACTGCATCTCTGTACGGCAGACCTTTTAACATATATTCAGGAGGGTTTATGCATTCCTGTGAGGGCACACAAGCCCCATATCGACCATAAAATATGTATTTGTTCTCTTCAGGAATAATGAGGAGCTATGGTGCAGCAGGAGTCATAGTTTAAATGTAGGTCAGTTGGTTCGTGACGAGACCGGCTGGATTCTGAGTTACTAATTTATTTTTATTTACTCCTCGAACCAACAGTATTATCTGCAAGTTGGTTACTGACTGACAGAAATCATTCACCCATACAGAAATAACTACCTTTACCTGGACCTGAAACAAAACTACCTTTACCTGGACCTGAAACAAAACTACCTTTACCCAAACTGAAGTCTGAATCCAGACGGGCCTTGAAGGCGCCTCACCTGCCACTTTTTATACCAGAGTTTCAAACGAGGTCATGAGGTGACCTTCTGTTCAGGTCAAGCCTTGATTAAAATATTATGCTACAAAGTGAGATGTGACACGTGCGTATGTGCTGTGAATGACTCTCAGCTACTACCACGTCAACTTTCAGCTCAGTAGCTGTAAAATTTACTGGGTGAGAAAGTTAAGTCAGGTCCTCTGGTTGGGTTCTTTTTGTTGAAACTTTTTGTCTTTCATCCAGAAGACTTCATCAGTCCGAGGAGCCACAACAAACTCCAAGTCGACGGGGGAGAGGGCGGACTCCAGAAACCATCTTATCACCATCAAACTGGTTGTCCCACTTTGTGAGTGTGCTGCATGTGGGACACAGTTTGTTGTGGCTCCTCGGGCTGATGAAGTCTTCTGGATGAAAGATGAAATGTTTCAACACAAAGACGCCATCCAGAGGACCTGACTTAACTTTATTGGATTTTTTACTCGACTATTGAGCATGAACTTTGCTGTTGCTGTGTTAGTTATGTTGTGTTTTCTAAAATCAGCTGACTGTGGCAGCCATCTTTAACTGAGCAGACTCCAAAATATAATACATTTTCACAAACATCCTATAATTAATTCCTGAAAGTTTCAATAAAGTCTGTCCTGTGATTCATTGGATATTATGCTAACAGATACACAACACTGGAACAATGTTGCATTTTTTAAAGTAATAAACCAACTTTATGTTCCCTAGCTTTTATTCACATTTAAAGATTTAAAATTTGGTCCAGTTGTCAATAAGTGACCACTTCCACTGAGAGTGTGGAGAAACATTAGCAGGGCTGAGTCCAGCGTGTTCTGGTTTTAGAGACGTTATTGAACTCTGCGGTGGACCTTCTGGTTGGAGGTAATCAGTCGTGATGCGTTCGGCTTTTCGTCAGAAGTCTTCTGGAGTTTCCTGAAAAAGACGTTCACACTCTGGTCCCTGTCTTTGATTGACAGTTGAAGTTATAAAATCTGCTCCAAATGTGGGAGTTTGTCTGTTTTCAGGTGCCGCCGGTGGATGAAGTGGGGTTTGTTGGCTGCTGCTGTTTGTGTTTTGGTGCCGGTCACGCTGAAATGGGCCCCAGAATTAATTCAGCATTTTGTTCACGTGCACAGAGGTAACGGAGCGCACCTGTCTGTCCTGCCGGAGCTCTGTCCACCAAACAACAACAGAACCACCTGTTTTTGTTTCCTGTGTTCAGTCAGAGTGCCGTTCTTTGTGGACCTGAGCCGACCCGCTGATTTCTCCCAGAACCACACCATCAACATGTACCTCACAAGTGAGGAGGGCATTTCCCTCGGAGTCTGGTAACGTACACGCTGTTCCAGGTTTTGTCATGAATAAAATGCATGACGTCATCGATCCGTCCTTCTGTAAATGTGTGGCGTCACAAAAAAGATGTTCCTACTTGATCCTGATGATCTAACAGACTGCTTGTTGGAACCGTTCAAGGCACACTGTTCCTGAAGGTCGCTGGAAAGAGGCTCAAGGGAAGGAGCTGCTCTGGTACCAGAACTCTTTAAATGATGGAAGTCCAGTTTTTATATATTTTCATGGGAACACAATGAATAGGTATGAAAAACAGCTGTTTGCTTTCTGCACAGACAAATGTCAACACAACTTATCCTGTTTTATTATTACTCTTATAATCATTATTATTATTATTTGTAAATACTGTGTATTAATTTGTTAACTTGTGTATTTTCAAATTAATTTCCACAGAGCAGCTCCGCACCGGGTGGGAGTGGCAAAAGTGAGTGTTGCACAATAAAGGGATAGTTTGACCATTTTGAAGTGGAGTTTTGTGTAAAAGTTGTGAACAGTTATTATCTTACCTGTTGTAGATAGTACACATGAATCAATACTACTTTTTCAAACCAAGTACAGTGCAGGTACTTAC